TTATATATATATATATATGTATATATATATATATATATATATATATATATATATATTTTTTTTTTTGAAAAGAATAAAGTTCCTTATACATAACATAGTCATGTCATATTATGCGTAGAAATTTACTTAAAATCTATAATTTATAATTACCATAGATTTATTTCTATAATTCGAATTTTTTTTTTTATAATACAAATCATTATTATATTTTATAAGCAACATATAATGCGAAATTGTTCGTTATTTCAATTAGGTTCTATAAAACTTTAATATTCTACTCAAAATGTTACATATACAATCAAAATTTTTATCTTTATATACGCTCACTTCTATTTAAAAAATCGAAATCAATTTGATGATATATTTTATTTGAAAAATTAAAACTTAATGCGATATTAATTTTAACATATATTAAAAGAAAAAATATTAAAACAGCTTTTTTTTTATTTAACTCATTAATAACATATGTTTATTATTTTGTTTGTATCATATACTGTCGCAATTTCATGTTCGATTAACCAGGTCATTGTTATAAAGAAAAATTTTAATACGAATAAAGATCTATCACATTTATATTCGTTCAAGAATGAAAGATTAAATTAATTTAATTCTTTAATTGAAATAACAGAACTTATATCACAAGATATATATTGTATTTACGTTCTTTGTAAATAAAATATTTTATATGTACATGAATTGGTTAAATAAAAATGTATTAAATAATTCACCATAATGGAATTAAAAATCATATTTTATGAATGTAGAACATTTTTTTCTTTTCTTTTTTTAATTTTTTTTAATTTTTTTTTCCTTTTTTTTTTTTTTTATTTTAATACATTTATTTTGAGTTACTTCAACATATAATAAAATTAAGTAAATTTTCCCGATATATTTTTGTATAAAGAAAGAAGCAGAAATATTTTTCTTTTTAATTTTTGCTTCTTACGTATTTTGTTGACAAGAGATAAAATAATATTATAAACAGAAATTGACTATTAACGAGATAAATAATACTTTACTTTAAATAAACGCTAAGAACTTATTTAATAATTTTATTATTATTATTATTATTAAATAAATTAAAATACCATTCTAAACAATTGCAAATAATAACATTTATTAAACGTTATCACTATTAGATAACTATTTTTAGACTTACACACATAAAATATTTAACTTAAGTATGCAGATCAAGAATTTCATTGAAACTTTAAAGAAATGGTGAAATATTTTTATAAATAAAGAGATACTAACAGGAATTGGTAGTAAGGTAGGTATATTATACTAAATGCAAAAAGTTACAATACATTTGATGTTTGTTTTTTTTTTTTTCATTTTCCTTTAACATTATTCTTTTTTTGTCGTAGTAACGTTGACCATGGTTGTACACACAAACTGGCCTGGTAGACCGAAATAAAAATGTATACTACAAAAATTCACAACTTATTATTCGCCATCCTCTAATTATTATATTGTTATAATTATTTGTGTTTCTTCATATTCCTTTCTTCGCTCATTATATTTATCTTTTTTTTTATTATTATTATTATTATTATTAATATTATTATTAATAGTCACTTAAAACGAAAACATTCACACTAAAAATTTGCAGAGCTTTCGTTCAGGTATAAAGAGGTGATCTCGCGCATGCGTGGCTTCTGAACACTTTGTTTTTAATACAGTTATACATGAGATGCATATTGATATATATATTATATATATATATATGTACGTATATACCTAAAGGTACAAATGAACTTACTTAAAAACTGTATTTACATATTGAAAATTTAACTAAAAGGAAAGATCAAAGTGCTACGTTCTACTTGTCGAAGTTTGAGAAGGAGCTCGTTAAAATATTTAGCCGTAAAAAATTCGTAATCCCTTTTTTTACGATTATTCTACGATTTAAAGAGGAAAAACTTAGAAACTGATTCGATGCTTAAAATTATAGTCATAGCGATAATATCGTCATTGTTTGAATATATAAAATTTGAATATACTGCTATTTGTACAATTGAAAATATTATATTTTCAATTATATATTGAGATAGAGGGCATATAAATATTTTAAATCCATAAATATTATGTTGAAATAAATAAATTGTTATTTTACGATGATCATTTTCATTTTTAATAAAATTCATCTACGAACTGGCTGGAAAATTCTTAATTTACGAGCATACTTCGTGAATATTTTTAATTATTCGACGAGACGAATAATTTGGCCAACTAATTACGCGAAATTACCTCTTTATCCATGACCGAGACAAAGCAGTATCATCGCGTTATAATACAAAGCAATGTTTTAGAAACATTGAATTTTGTTACACAAAATACTTATGTTTTATCGTGTGAAACTCTGCTTAAATAAAATTACAAATACCTTTGTGGAAAGGTGTTAGATTAAAAAGTATAAAACAAAGACCACACGTCGTTCGGCAATGATTCTGCTTTATCCCGGACATAGCACTTGTAACGCATTCGATTACGAACTATTGCGGATGTTTAATGTAGACTACGTAACAATTTAATGGATTAATAAGAAACGTAAATAATTACTTTTCACATGTTCTCAGCCTTAATATCGTAGCATTTTAGTCGCCGTGCACTTTAGTTTTTTTCTTTTTCTTGTTTTTTTTTTTTTTTTTTGCCAAATTCGATATATTAATTAGTTAATTTATCACCATCAACATATTGTTATCACCTCTGTATTCTCTCAGCACTATTAAAAAACAGTTAATTTTTGTCCATTTTTAATCTGTATTTTCATCTGTGCACTTGGGTTAGGGCGAGGTGTACACGTACGAGATGGCACATAAATTACTATATGCGCTACCACTGTTATCACGATGTTGGTAGTTTTTGTATTACTTTTTACTTTGCACTCACGATTCTTCTACATTGTTGCAATGTTGGTTTGAAAATCTTATCCTGATTATTCGATGACTTATAATGCGATGAGAATTTAGAGAGAAAAAAAACGATATTTTTGGTTAACAAAAATAAAAGAAAAAGGAAGAACATGACAAATAGGCCAGAAAAAATATATCGCCCTGTCTCTAATAATCGCAGGACTCATCTTGCAAACTGTTTCTAGAAATTCGAAAATATTTCTAATGTTTCTTTTTTTTGATAAACACATAATTCTTTCTCTCGTTCTCTCTTTCTCTCTTACATCCACACACATCCCCTTTCGTTCTCTTTCTCTCCTTTGTTTCATCTGCCCTAGCACCTTTATACGGACACATGTCGAAAATACAGATAGGAAAATACTATCTACATATTAGAGTACTTACAAGAATTAAAATATTTCTCAATTCCATTCGGTGATATATGAATAAGTGCACGTGCTGAATTTATTTATTTTTTTTTTGTATATAAAAGATAAGTTAAATCGACGATCTAATTTCACTAAATTGCTGTTATTACTTCATGCGAATAAAACTATTCATTCATACGACAAATATACGTAGATTGAGAAACATTTAAAAGTGTACCTTAGTGCCAAAAAACTAACACAATCTTCCGAAAAAAATATTTATACGTATTTCGATTCTTATTATTGATATGGAAGTATAATATCGAAGAAAAAAGCTTGATGAAAGAGGTTTATATTAATATTTTTATACGAATATTTATCACTTTTGATCGAACTTTGAAAAATTGCTATTTACGTATGTATAGTCATTACAAGAATAATACTAGTTATGTTAATAAGCGGGCAAATTTTTTGTTCAATATTATACAACGTTAATTTTCCAATAATTTTCTGTAATTACGACATTTTGCATAAAGTCAAGATATTCTGTGCTGTTATAACGGTACTAGGTCTCTCTATTTTAGCAGCGCACTGCGAGTTCTGCGATCACTAGAGACTAAAAACTGTTGGAGATCATAGAATTCTCAATAAATTGTACCGAACTATTCAAATTTAATTTTGAAATAGCATTGCCCTTCTTTATGATCTTAAAAAA